GCCCACAGTTCAGGAAATTAAAATATCATTCAAGATGGAAGCAACACAGATGAGAAGGAAACAGAAAGAAATTCTGTGAACTTCTAGCATTACGGCACATTACAGCTACTCCTTTCAACACCGTTGTGTAATACACTTCTCAACGGGATATAATAACCACATTGTGCACACAACCTAGCTCTGGAGTTACATGCACAAAAAAGAACAAGGCCATTCCATAAAATATATGTTTAGCCACTGCTGGATGTGTCTCCAAAAGGCAAAATCATCTATAAAGTATTGCCTCTTCAACTTCATGTAGTTTTAGCTGGGATTCGGGAATCTTTACAGGTTGGAGTGCGGGATTCGGCATAGACACGTCTTTAATGTGTCAACACTACATCTAAATCCTCAAATTGCTTGATTGTGTGATTTTTCAAGAGACTTGTCCAGTTGTTGCTGTGAATGACCCATCATGACACTGGAGGATAAAACAAAAGCCCACCTAAGTTGTCCTAGGGAGTGACCCTCACAAATGTTCAGGGAGAATGAGGAAGCTCCTGGTTTAAAACAATCTCTTTGTCCCCCTTTTCTGCCTCTTCAGTCAAGGGCTTGGCACAAGATTTTATTTCAATATTTTTTTGAAATATTGAATATTTGTTTTCAATAAGTAGTTTTCTGAAAAAAAGTTTACACAGCTGTTGCTTTTTCCAGACAACCTTCTTCCCGGTGGCCTGACAAGCAAGACCATTATTTTGGCATTGCTTTGGGATTTTGCAGTTCCATAATCCCAAAGAAGGTAAAAAACTGCTTTGTTCTTAAGGTGACATCAAATTCCATTGGATTCAATGGACAGCTACCATAAATAGGAGGGAGAATTAGATTGTAATTTTTGAGGCATGTTTATGCTATCCTCGGTCCCAAATGGCTCTGTATTACAGACATGCATTTAATGGCATAACTATGATTTTAAGCACACAATTTATTTCTGAAGATGATACTGTATCAAGAGCAGTATTTTGTCACCTTTGAGTAGATGGGGAAAACAAAACATCTTAGATTTTATCTATATGATCATATGAATTTAAAGTAACACATATATGATTATTTTTCAAAATGGATCATAAAATATGTATTCATTTATAAGCTCTGCATGCATGGCACTTGGGAAAGAGCAAATCCGTATTGCAGTGTATCAGCAGCAAAGATAAGGTCAAAAATGGAATTTAAGTAATTCATATTTTTAAGTCGCTGGTATGTATCACTGATGACAATTTTAGCTTAGAGCGTAGTTTGCTTCAGCAAGACTAAAATTTAGGTAAGAGAAACGTACATTGCTGTGTTGACTTTGTAGTCCTCTAAAAGGATTATGCTATATTTAAACACTATTCTGAGGGTTATTGTCGAAAATTTTGAGATTAGATATATAGCAATAAGAAAAACCGAGCTAAGAACCACATCTGTAATTCTTCATCTCTTTCAATTAACTTGTTGAAATAGCTCAGTCAGCAACTTGTAGAAAGGAACTATTTATAGAAACAGAAGGGCAGGTAAGGACTCAGTCCTTTAGCCTTCACACAAGCAAAAGGAAAAGAAAATCTTATCAGGAGGAGACAATTGTATTTAATTACAAGATTGCAGGATTAAACAATAAGCTTTCTGTTCCATGTGAAAAACTGCAGCATCTGCAGCATCCTGCATCATACCATATCATCCCACAGATATTCTTAGAGCTTTTTCAGAACTGCATTTTTTACGGGGTGACTTTTGACTGAATCTCTTTCCTTCTGGTCAATACGTGAACATTTAGCAGTGATACCTGGACTAGAATTTTCTGCATAACATCCTATTTCACCTGCCACTGACACCAGTGGAAAGAACTCACAGTGATTTCACTGGAGTTTGAATTAGGCCTTTTGTGAGAGGAGTCTGTCTGTGACAGGTATTCATTATAGAAATAATTATTGATAACAATTTTGGTAATATATATTAATGCTATGTGTTGTTTCTTCTAAAAACGGCTTATTCTACCAAGGTTCAATAACTAATATATAATGTTAAAAAAGCTGACAATTCTGTACATATTTTATAACACTAGCGACATTAGCTTTCTACTGCTCTTATTAGTGCCTCGTGTGAAACCAAAACAGCTGACTTTGATCAGGATGTGACTCAGTAATATCTGGATATAATATGTGATAGACATAAAATTTCTACTTCAGGTGGCTACAGCAGCAGCCTAGTCACTGTAGCATTTTACTATACCAGGTTTGTTTGCTGTTTTGCATATTTTATTCGATTAAGGACTAACTAATTCTCCTCTAGTAAGAGTCTACAGCCAGGAATGTCTCATCTGGCCCTTAAATTAATTTTCGTGTGATATGATAAATTATTTATCTTTCCCAAATCAGTCATCATTAACTTATTAAATGCGATTATTTTGCTAATAATTGTTGCTGCTACTTAGTAGCTGTAGCATCAAAACCATGCCAGTGCTGAGCTTTCTCAAAAAAGGGCCAGAGCTCCTTATTTGCACATAGTGTGCAAATAAACAAAGCACCCTTGCCCTGCAGACTTTACAGTCTCAAATTCCAGCTCAAAAAGGTGCTCAGTACTTTTCTGAAAGGCTTGTGTTACGGAATCCAATCCCATTTCAACCCTGCTAAACCATTTCCTGCTCCTGCTGCCCCTCAGAAAAATCTATTAATATGGGTTTCCTTTGAGCATCTGCAATGGCACGCCGGAGCCATGAAACACTGGGAAGACTTGCTTCTATAGCTGCGCAGCTTTGCCTCTACTGGGAAAAATCCTTTTGGCAGCGTAATGGTAGTGAAGATGCTGTACTGAAACCTCTGCCGAAAACCACATTCAGTACCCACCATGATTTAGAAATCAGCTCTGTGTTATGATGCTAATTAGCAACATTTCAATTACATATCGGTTTCATTTATTTTCGACTCTAGTACTTTGTAGTTCTTTTGCAACTTTGAAAGGAAATATTGAAATTCTACACGGATTACTTATTATGGGAATTTCAATATTAAAATAATTGGTCTTGTATAAACGTGCTTCGCTGCTGTAAAACTTCATTAACCCTCCACCAGAGGGCAACATCAGAAAAAAACTTGTATATAAATCCAAAGAGCAGTTGCTTTTAGGATATTACAGCTACAACACATGTCTTCATCGGGGAATCTTACTTTTAAAATACGCTGTTTACGTTTTGTCACCAACTAGGCAAGTGAAGGAGCTTAATAATTTTGGAAGGATTTGTTTAGAGCACAAGTTACATATATTTTTTTTAATTAACGAATCTACATAAACTTTAAGATTAACATGAAGCCTAAGAGAAATATGACGGTTATGACTTAGAAAGAAATACTACGTTTTCCATCTTCAATCTACTTCAAAGTGATTAAAGTCAGAAAATTACTACTAGATACTGGAAAGAAAACTAATTCTGTTCAGAACGTGCCCAGCTCATTCCAGTGCTGTAAATATCACAAGTCAAGTCTAAATGTTACACTGGCCTACTCAGAGGCATGAAAGCAGAGGACACAAGGAGGTGGGAAATACTAAATGCTTAAGAGAAAGCAGTCACTAATGGATGCCTAATATGACATACAATAAGCTGTTTGAGCAAATATGGATACAGAGATAAATGCACCTTTAGAATAGACGCAATCTGTTCATAGCAAGAGCAGTACTCTTTGCAGTTAATGCCCTGTTTCCGCAGCAGCACGACCGGCTGCGCGAAGGCCACGTCCTTTCTCCGCCCGAACAGTACAGACGGCTCAGCGACACTCGCCCCGACGGCCG